ATTGGTTCGAACAAATCGTACCCTGCCCACCTAGCACCCAGCATCGAAAACAACAGTTTTGACATATGTTCTCATATGTTTGGCTTCAAGTTCTTCTCCTCTCTATAGGTTCTCATACATTACGGCTCCTCCCACGTCTTTGTACGCTGACTTCAGAGCAAAAATACAAGTTCTTGAACTACTTTGGATTATACAAGTTCTTGAACTACTTTGGATTAGGGTTCCAAATATATTGGCTGTGGGTCAAAACCCTGATGCCACTATGTTCGAGAGGTCCACCGAAACGATGCTTTGGTGGGTTTTTGGTGCTTCGCCACACCGAAATCATTCACCCGGATGCTCCCCGGGCGCTCCTGTAACACGCGCGTGAGCTTGGAGTTTCCTGACAAAGACCGAAGACGTCCGAGTCATGGACCAAAGACCGGTTTCACCATGCGTGGCGAAACCGGATGCGGGTCGCCAATCCTGGTTGCTTGGACCTTGAAACAGTGGTGATGTGAACTACGGCCACAAGCTGGCGGAAAATCAATCATATACTATCTAGAGAGCGCACTCGCAAAGGGGGGCACACCCAACGCTGTGGGTAAGGAGGTGGGTGAAAATGGTTACACCGGGAAGAACATATGGTACAAAGGTCTGGTAGAACATCCATTATACCAAACCTTTGTACCATATTTTGTTCTACCAGACCTTTGTAGCAAAAACCACACCTCTGTAGAACATCCTTTGATGGCATGGTGGCAACCATCTCGATAAACCATCCATTGGTGGGTCCCATGCTCGTGGCTCATGGGAACAGGATTGGATGAGACTTCTGTCGGGTTGCGCTGACCGTGGCTCCCATCCCCGGTCAGCCAGTCTGAGCCTGGTCAGCCTGTGCTCATGACTCACAATTTTTGGTTTGGAACTCCTTTCGAAGTCGTCAGAACCCCTCACAGACCTAGAAAACCCACCCAGACATGACTCCCTGCTTTTCACCGGAAGTTGGAGCCTTGGTTCTTCAGGTGATCCGAGGATCACGTGGTCGGTTCACTCAGGCTTCATCCCGCGAGTCTCCCGCAAGTCGAACCGGTCTTTCTCCTGGACGCCTGGAGGGCGAGTCTTCCGCCATCGTCGGTCTCCGGTTTCCCTCCGGTGGCGGAATCTGTCATGTACCCAATACGACGCGACCCATCTGGGACTGCCATAGGACTGCCTATCAGTTGGGGTGGTTGAAAAGGGGTCAATGGGGCGGCATATATAGCAGTCCCATTAGTCGTGTCTGGGTATAGGGACCCTAACACGACCCAGGATTGGCAGATTGGTCGGGGCAGGTGCCTAACCAGTGGGAGATGGAATCTCTGAGTCCCCAGTGAACGACCGAGATGCGTTTCAGCGCAGTGCCACCGAGCTGCGGTAGGGAATGAAGACCTTCTTGTTGCCGTTGGCCGCGGAGCTTAAGGCATTGATGACCTGGTGCTGGACAGGAGGCCTTTCAACCAGGAAGCTGGGTTTGAGGATTCTCACCCCATCCTATTTCCTACCAAGGACCCTGCTGCCTCCATGGACCCTGCTGCCTCCATTCCTGCAACTTGGGTTGAATGAAGCCCGACTCCAGAAGAGATCAATGGGTAAAAGGAGATGGTTTGAAAGGAGCCACACTAGAACCTCCTGGATTGTGTGTTTGATCATCCTCCAAGTGCTGAACAAGTTGACTTGTGAATCGAACATCCTTGGAGACAAGGAAAAACATTATGCAAAAGGGAGCATTTATCTGGAGCTTCTGTCACCAGGTTGATGACACATTGATCACACCTCCCTAGGACCCGTGAAAGTCGAAATGACTCATGCAGGATCCCCGTTGGCAATGTTGACTCTTGCATGATGAATAAAAAACCCTGTCTCCAGAATGGCCACTTTACATCTCCATATTTCTTGTTAATCAACAATCAACATTGTAGTGGTCGCTTATGACTCCCAGGTACATTTTCATCCTTGGACGATCTGGAAGTGGTGATATTCCCTTCAGTATTTCGGCAGGGTCAAATGGTTTCGTTTGCCACTCAAAATTTGGGACTAGCTTTGGGATGATTCATGACGATTCCTCTTGCAACTGGACGATGGCTTCACACACATCATCATACCCCACTCATCCCACTCCCTCGCTCACCGCAGGATGCCCTGGGGCACCACGCATTGCCCAATGCAGACAAGCTCTTGTTGATATTCGCCCCCTCCTTCCTGGGCGTTTCACGTCTTCATCTCCCCTCCCGCAGAAACGCCTCTCAAAGAAACCTCTACAGCCGCCGTCTTTCTTCGCCCAACGCCTGTAGCGTCGGACCCGGGGCGGCACCTGTCTCCACCTCCCTGGGCGCCCCGGGCAACGTGGAGCCCTCGGCGCCGGTGCGGGAGGCGCGCTCGGAGCCGGCGAGGTCCACCAAATTGATCTTGGAGAAGTTGTTGTTGGAACCTCTGAGGGGCGAGGCTCGAGGCTCGAGAGAGAGAGCTCGGGCGGATTGAGAGGTTGGCAAGATTGATCGGACTGGACGGTAGGGGTGGAGCATGGGTGAAGGGCTGGTATAATGGAAGCGCGCTCGGATTGCACCGGGCGTGAGGGTGGGCTGTTTCTGGGGGATGGTGGATGGAATTTGCATGGCAAGTAGGAGGCTATTTGAGCCTTCAATGCCAACAGAGTAGTGTTTTTGTGCGGGACTTGCACGGGACAAGTAGGTGTGTCTGTGTGTGGATGGATGGAGGTCCAAGAACCATAGGTTTCTTCTACAAATCACCCGACCCAGCGCAATCTGCCAAGGACCAAACTACGGGTACGCAACAAAGAAATGAGCACCACTTACTACACAAGTCTACTTGACCTGAGACTCATCTACCTAAGAACCTGCAAATAAATCTACTGCACACCTTCCAGTCCCAAGCGAACAAGCTTGCAGCCAAAGCTCTGACTTGGTCATCCTGGCGAACTCAAAGCTTAACATTCTCCAGGAACTGCGCAGTGTTTAGGTGTAACTACAGTATGTAAAATCCCACATAGTACAATAGTATATAAATCCACAGAACATTCCGGCCAACGAAGTCCATAGTCTTCCTCATCCCTAGTCGCGCTTGGTTTTGGGCTCTACTCCGGCAGTTTCAGGTTTCTGGGTGTCTGACTCTCAATCCCTTGAGGTTCTTTGGGGGCCGGGAAAGGTCTGGTGCACACGGAGCGTCGCCTTCTGGATCCTGGCTTTCACATGTGTTGAAACTACGGTGAAAATACCACCACACCAGACCAGACCAAGACGGTCTCGTCTCCTTCTGGTGCAGCTTGATGGTGAAAATGCAATGCGAACGACTGCTGGTGGCGTTCATCTGCGTCGCCGCCGTCGCTCGATGCTCGAAGCCTCCGCAGATCGCGAAGGCGTCGAAGGTCGCACGCGTCGGTCCCCAAAGAAGGTTTTCAGGCAAAAAGATGGTGATCTCTGGCAGTTCATCCCAGTTTTTCAGGCAAAAACCAGGTCTGGTTGGCTTTCCGCGGAATGTGGATGAAACCATCCCAGAACTGGGTGACGGCACGGAACGGAGACGGTACCGAACGTTCCGTTTGAACGATGTAAATAGCTCAATCAGTTTTCAGTGTTAAATCAGTTTTGAGACAGCTTTGGGTGTCGGTCGAACCTGTCTTTTGAGGTGCCTTTTGTTGGGGGTTGTATACTATCATTCCTTGTGCGTATGCGAAGGAGACGATCCGAGCCAGTGGTTCGGGGGTGTGGAAGCCAAAATCAATTTTTAATGGGTGGTTTGTGAACCTGTCACTTTCTGTATTAATCTTTTCTGGCAAATGCTGGAAGGAGTATGTGAAGTCACTCGTTTGACTTTCCTTTCTGGCGGATTGTGTAAGGCGTTTTCTCTTTCTCCAACGAAGTCATGCTGATTCCAACGTGTACTATTCGCCCGTGAACCCACTTCCACACAGATTCCTACCATATCTCATCGGACTCCCTGCTGATTCCAGCGTGTCTCTTACAGGACACGGGCGCGCTGGCCTTGATCGATCAACTTCTGCAACCGCACCGCGCTGTCCACCACAATCTCTTGCAGGTCCTCTCGCACACAAACATGCCCAGCGTTGCGGCAGGCCGTGGGGCTGAACACAGCCGAATGTGAACAAGACACCACAGCCGAATGCAGTGAGGAACTCCGTGCCAAATCCAAACCAGACAAGAAACCACTCAACCCCCGTGTCTTCAACCCTGAACATGTTGTTTGGGAAGTCACACTGAGATACATTGAGGTCAGCCCCATATCTGTTGTGAAAATATATACCTCCAAAGGACGTGCATTGTATGCTGACGCACAAGCTCACTGTGTGTGCTCTGGGCACACAAATGGGTGGAAGCAGTGTTGGCTTGGCTGTGTCTGCTTGGCTGCTTGGCTGGAGTGGGTTTGCATTAGACAAATTCGTCCCGAGCCCTTTCGCCCAGCCGAGCCGGCCGTAGCTCTGCCTGGCGAGGCGTTTTGTGACGCCGTCAGTGCATGATTTGTTGGGGGGACCTCGGGACTGCAGCCGAGGTGTCCTGGACGAATAGGGAGTTTCCTTCTCTTGTCACGCTGGGGTCAAAGCACCCCATGGTATTTCTAGCACCAACGGTGAGGATAGCTTGAAGCGACTTGACATCCCAAACGGACCAATTACCCAAAGAGTTACAAACGAAGGGTGCTATGCGTGGGTGGGATTGGGATTGGTTGGAACGCACCCTCTGACATCGATTTTGCTTGGAAAAAAGCGAGTTGGGCCTGTGGTAGCCGTTTCAATCTGACAAGTCTTCCTTGAGGTTTGAACTGCCTTTCACATTATTCTAAATAGCTAGTCTTGTGGTAGTCCTTTCCTAGTCTTGTCGTAGTCCTTTCGATGCTTGCATCTCGAAACTGACACTAAAAATCCAAGTCTGGAGTCCAACATATTCCACAGTGGTACGGCAAGTGACTGGTCAAGCCGTCAGCTGTAACTCAAACAACACCTTTTTGGACAAATCTGGTGAAACACTCCGACAGTTGAGCGTTGAAACGAGGCGTTGAAGTGCATTGAGCCTTGCGTTCAGCGCAGCTACGCCTCGCTAAGCTGTTTGAGGGCACAGCACAGGGAGGCATCACTGTGCTTCCCTTTGGGCTTTCAAAAGACCTGGCAAGCTCTTGAGAGATCTCCATGTGTTTGGATGTTGAGGACCTTAAGTCCTTTCGTAAGCATCCCAAACCCGTCGATACAGCTCCTCAGCCTGGCTGCGCTTACCCAGCATGTACATGGTTGCAGTTGCAAGCACAAATCTGTCGCACATGTTTTGCCTTAGGCCGTCGCAGGAGTCGAAGCAAGATCGCGCACGTTCTGTGCATCCAGTCGTTATGCCTTGCTGATCTTCAGCCATGGCTATTACCAAGTGGATCGCTCTCTCAACCTCATTGACTTGTGCTTCATGCGCTTCATGCACAGTCCATGCGCCTGCACAGTTCCAGGGCATCACTGTGCCTACCCTCACCTTCCAAAAGACCTGCCAAGCTCTTGAGAGATCTCAATGTATTTGGATGTTGAGGACCTAAAGTCCTTTCGTAAGCATCACAAACCCGTCGATACAGCACTTCAGCATCCCTACTCTTCTCCATGCCACTCAGGATGTCTGCCAAAGTCTCGAGGAATAGTAGTGTAGCCGGATGCTCAGGGCCTAGTGCCCTTTCACAAACTTCCACTGATTGTCGACTCAATACTTCAGCCTCGTCATACTTGGCCATCTTCTCCAAAACACATGCCAAGTTGTTGACGGAAGCCAAAGTATCTGGATGATCAGGGCCTAAAGTCCTTTGGTTTCCCTCCAAAGCCCGGCGTTGCAACTCCTCAGCTTCCGTGTACTTGCCCATCTGCAGCAGGACGTTGGCCAGGTTGTTGATGGATTTCAAAGTATATGGACGATCAGGACCTAAGACCCTTTCCATGGCCTGCATAACCCGACGGTACAACTTCTCAGCATCCGTGTACTGGCCCATCTGCAGCAGGACGTTGGCCAGATTGTTGATGCACTTCAAAGTATCTGGATGATCAGGGCCTAAAGCCCTTTCCATGGCCTGCGTAGCGCGACGGTACAACTCCTCAGCTTCCGTGTACTTGCCCATCTGCTCCAAACAAAGTGCCAAGTTATTTGCACTAGCCAAGGCCCATCGGCTCTCAGGTGCATGTGTCGTCTCATAAAATTCCTGCAGCTCACGAAGAATCGGCGACGCCTCCTCGTAGCAACCTCGCCCTCTTAGCACCTCGCCAAGCCTCCATTTGGCCTCCCGGCCAGCTTCACCCTCAGCGCGGGCAGCACGGCTTCGCAGAGCAACCAGTAAGCGTCCGCGCGCGTGTTGGACCTCGGCACTGGGGATGGGAAGTGTAACGTGGATGATAGTTCTGAGCTCGTGCTCCAGTGACTAGTCTGTATTAGTATCGTGCTGTTGAAACTCTTCAAGATTGCCCATGCCAAATTACTATCTAGCACAGGTTCATTCCTTTTGGTAATCGGACTGTTAGAAGCCACATGAACATATACCACAGTAGTGAATATAAGTTCCCCCCTGGAACCTAGGTTTTAGGATGTTTCAGATGTATGTTTCAGGAGGTGTCAGATGTGCGCAGATGGTTTGGAATCCCACTAGAGAGAAGGTTCAAGTGGTATACAACAATAATTACCAATGTTGACGTCAAATGAGGGTGAGAGTGCGGGAGTAAATTTAGGTCTATCTCGGAAAAGGGTTCAAAGTCTTTGGATGAAGGGTTTTGGTGATGAAGGATTCAAAGTCTTTGGGGTGAAGGGACTTTGACATGAAGGCGGGCTCAAACACTTTGTTGAAAGACTTGGGATGAAGGGTTCAAAGCCTTTGGAGTGAAGAAAGAGGGTCCAAATGTTGATCAAAGACTTTGCATGAAGGATTCAAGGTCTTTGAGATGAACTAGGGGTCAAAGACTTTGATCAAGGACTTGCGATGAAGGCTTCAAAGTCTTTGGGATGAAGACTTCACATTCTTTGGGATGAAGGGTTTGGAAGGGTTCCAAAGCTTTGTTCAAAGATTTGGGATGAAGAGTTCAAAGTCGTTGGATGAAGAGTTCAAAAACTTTATTCTAAGACTTGGGCAAGAATGTTTTAAGTCTTTGGGATGAAGGGTTCAAAATCGTATGCACCCCTACATCCTCCTGCCCTCTCTGCTGTGCAAGGTGCTGCGCCATCTTCACCAGACACGCGAACCACAATGCAACATCGAGGAGGCATGCCAGGCTCATTTAGGAGCTTGCCAGCCAGATTTCTGCCCGGCTCCTTTCCTGCTGCCTCCATTTCTGGAGTCGCTTTTTTGGATACGTCAAAGGCATTGGATCCATCAACCAATATGGGCACGCAAAACGCGGCCCTCTTGGGGTATTCACGTTTCACATACTCTGGACCTCGAATTGGATCCTTGTGATCTCTCCGCATCATGTTGCGGAAGTTGTTGTCAAGTAGCTTATCACGATCTCTCCACTGGTCCGGGGACCATGGCACTGTGTAGACCCCCTTACCCCACCACGCATTGGCATTGGGCCCTTCCGTATTCAAAGACGCCCAAATCTCAGAGGCCTCCTTGCTGGGATGCGTGATGTTGTGAAATCCCACTTCAGAAGTGTAGTGAAACACCACCTGGCCACCAGTACCGGAGGTGAGGTCAATGGCGTCCTGCCAAATCTGGATATCTGTGGGTTTGTGAAGCCAAGTATGCAAAGTCGCATCTGGAGTCTTCTCGTAGTCTGGATGGAGAAATTCTCCTCCTTCACGGTAGTGCTTCTCGAAGTATTCCCTCAGGTCTGTCCTCAAATGAACGGCTGCTGACAATGCTGCAACTGGATGCAAACTAGTCAAGAATGCTTGCAGAACATCCGAACTTGTCACTTGTCCCACACTTGTGCCTTTGATCCTGGATTGTTACAGGATTGCAGCTTCCGAACCCCACATGCATTTTCTCCCAACTTCGGACACACAGACATTGATCAGCCGACGAATGACTCTCCAGTCGAGGTGTATGTTTGGTGAACATCTCTGAGCTCCATATTGTCTTTTTGGCATGCCGATGAGACACATAACTTGGATTTATAAAGAAACCTGCAAGAAGATCCACTTAAACGAGGATTCCCATGTAGGGAAAATCAACCATCACCTTAAGCTACACCAGGATAAGGCAGAACATTATCCCTCTAGTTGCTAGCAAAGGCCATCACAAAAACATGTCAACCTACACCATGCGTGAGGTGGTAGAATTTTCAGCAACATGATCCGTACCAAAGATGTCGAACTGCACAAGCTACAGCGGACACATCTAGAATCTAGAACATTGCATCAAACATTGCATGAACTATGAACAATATAATTATGAAGCATATGAAAGTGCTCAGAATCTAAAACTGTATGTACAGCGTTGGATATGGAAACATATTAAACAACAACAATTTCAAGATTTTTATGATTTTTATGATATTTTCTGGACTCCCCACTCTTGCAGCCGAATGTCGTTGTGGCTTTGCCACTCTCCAGCAAAGCCTGGGTGGCGGCTGGGGCTGGCATGAACAAGACAGGGGGATAGGTTTTCAGTGGAGCTGAGAAGGTTGGTCGAATGCCACATTTCACTGAGTATTTCTGGGGATCACACTAGCTGTTTAGCAGGTCCAGTTGTGTGGGGTCAGGATGCAGGGTTCAAGAACTTGAACGCCCCTTAAAACACGTATGGTTCGCTCCCCAAAATTGGAAGGCCATAAGTTTGAGGTTCCAGAATCTCGTCAATCGTTAGCGGTTGGTCTAGTGCAGTTGCCGAAGAACATTTCTGAAGGAGGCATCCCGGGGCAACAAACAGCAAACATAAGAGTAGAATCTACCATCCCTAGGCCCTAGGCTCCATCTTATTTTGCTCTGTGCATTTCTGCGCACTCAGTTACTGCAAAAAGTAAGTTTGCTTCCACCTGCTGCACAACAATTGTCACAGAAAGGAAACTCAAAACTTATCCCAAACCATCCATGGGACTGGAATAGTTATATACATTTACCCCATGAACACGGCCCTCCATTTAAGGTAACTATTCCAATCCCATGGATGGTCTGGGGATGCTCGCTTCCTCAGACCCAGCCACCGTCGCGGGTTCCACCGGCACAGCAGCTTCTCTAAGCTGGGCATGTTCGGCCGCCGCGACCTTGGCCGGATGAGCAATCCGTCATCGGATGGAATTGGTTGCGTACGAACAACCAGGAACAGTCGAGACCTTTCGCCGAAACCGCGAAAACCATGAACGGGAACGACCTGGTTTTGTAGTTATTCCCACTTTTGATAGTTTCTTGGCACGTGGTCATCGTGAATTTCACATTGCCCTGAGGACTTTTGGGCCAACAACGCCTTTAAGCAATTTTAAGCAACGATGATTCAAGTGTTGAAGAACTTGGTCGTCAGTTCATCGCAAAGGTCACAGAAAGGAAATTCAAGACTTATGCTCGGTCGCGTTCAAACCTGTTCCTCAGCCCAGGCACTGTCGATGCGGGTTCTGCCTGCTGAGGTGCAGTTTCTCTCAGCTGAGCATTTGCATCGATGGGGGCTGGCGCGACCTCGGACGAGAGGCAAATGAAGGAATTCGAGGACTTGGGCAGTTCTATTCAGAATTATAAGAACAAAGCTTTTGTTGATTTGTTGATGCGAACCCTGCGCAATACATAGCTTGAAGCCTCCCAAAACAACACACCAAACCAGGAAGGTGAACTTGAGAACTGACCATGTCGAAAAAACAATAACAAACACGTGGTGAGTATTGACTGTCTTGCTGATGCCTTGTACTTTCTCTCCATGTGCACGGTTGCATGCGTTTTGCACGGAACGGTTACACGGAACGGTTAAGCTTTCAGCACCCAAACATCCGGACACTCATTGAGAACCAAGGGAAAACCCACAAAAGCGGCCCTCATCGCATCCGTTTCCGAAAGAACCGGCATCGGGAATGGCAAGCTATAGGCCTATATAGGCCCTTTTGGGAGTGAAAGAATCATCTGGCATCAAACTTGACTGCCAAAAACGGATCGAACCGTCCACATCATCTCCAGTTCGACGACGAGAGACTTGCTGCCGAACATCGGTTCCGGATCCACAGCAGCCCATGATTCCACCATGGCGATGTAGCGGGCTACATAGAATGGTTCTTCACATGAGCTATGAGTAGATAAGGCATTTAGTGGAAACATGCTTCTACTGATTCTAATGGATAGATAGTAAAAGGGTAAGAGTAAGATCGAAACCTGATCTGGGTATGCAGCAGGACACATTCATACCTTCTCAGAAGGTACGAAACCCTCCTGGCACCTACCTAACAATGTCGCCAATCACCTTCTGAGAAGGTACTCGGGTTTTGTAGGGAGGGTAATAAGTAAAAACCCGATCTGGCTGGACCTTGCAGGACAGGTACTGATTCTAACTGATTCGAACTATGCGCTCAACAGGCGCCAAGAACCAACTTCGAACTTGCCGACCTAGATCGACTTTCATGTGGTCCAACGGGAAGCACTCGCGTGCGGGAAGCGCTCTCCAAGCACTCGCATGTGGGCCCATCAACACCAAACAGAGAGCCTGACCAGGTCAACAACCCTAGCCTGGCCTTCGACCATTCTTTGGGTCTATCCGAGTCTACCTGGGCTCAGTGGATGATGGTGGTTCAGTTGCAGGCCTTGTTCAAAAATAGAAGTGTTTACTGACGGTTACAGGTATTAGGACAAACCCAAACCATTCTATTCAAAAATGGTTGACCTGGTTGTGTAATTAGTGTAAAATCATGTAAATCCTTAGTAGATTTCTGGTGGTTTGACATCTAGGGCTACCGGGTCCTATCAGTCCTCTGTACCAGTTTCGGTTCATCGACGGCATGTCCAAGCTTGCTCGGATACGCAATTGAATACCATGATCGAATCGATGAAGCCGGCCACAAGGCCCAACTCAATCACATCCAAGTCTATTTAGTTCTTAGAACCACTCATTCCACACGATATCACTTCCAACTCCGATCCCCGGCCTCGAAGTCGCAACCGCACAGCATTCACCAAGCCCTTGATAGTTCAGCCTCCCAAAAGCTTCGACAAAAGACACATGCCTCCTTCCTGCAGTTCAGACAAACTAGACATGCGTGGATAGTGCGCCAACTTGGTTAAGGAAGTTACATGAAATTACAAATTATGATGCGAATTCGTGCTTTGGAGCTTCATTACAAAACACTGAGTAGACACCCAAGAAAAGGTCCTGATTGCATGGGTTCTACAGGTTTGGGCTCAACTTTTTGTGGCTTCAAGGCTGGTGGGCACTCTGAAACAAAGGGGTCGAATACCTCAAACAAAGAGTTCTTCTCCGCTGTTCAGTCAGGACTTATATCAGTCAGAAAATTTCTTCATCTTCCCCAGTTGATCTACCTTTTCCTTCCCAATCCACGTCATTCCGCTGCACGGGGGCTTCCGCATCTCCCGCCTGGACCCTGCTGCGCCGTCTGTGAAAGCGCGGGAGCTGCTGTAGCTGCTTCGCGGTCACAGAAGACCCCCCAAAGAGGCAATCCAAAGCGACATGGAAGGGGGAACGCATCCATAAAAACATGTAAAGGCCTCTTAACTGGCGACTGCTTGGAGACTGGGGTGAACAAAGAACCGCACCTCTTGGGCGTCGCGTGCTGAGAATGGGAACTCTGGGGGCGTACCCACGTCGCAGTCATTTGCAACCCATCTTGGCCCATGACCCATGATCGATCGCAGTTTGCGGTTGCAAACTCAACCAAAACCAGGCCACATATGGTCGGTCCTTGACATAGACGCCCATGCCCTTGGCCTCACGAATCTCCAGGCCACTGGCCGGAGTAGCACGACCTGTGCGCACGGGAGCGGATGGAGGTTGGGCCGATGGAGGACGCCATGCTGCCGAAGAGCACACCATTAGATTTGGATAGGCACTTCAGCCAGACCAACCATTTAGAATGGTGGAAGACGCCACGGGGTATGCACTACGTGCATGCCCCAGAAGAATGGGGAACTTCCAAGGATCATTGGTCGTGGATCATGTGGATCGTCTGCGGAAGATTCGGAATCATGGGCCCATGGACAACGGTGGAGAGGTCTTTATTCTTGATCATGTACCCTAGGCTCCAGTCGTGCCTCCTCAGAAGATATGACTGGACCCTCCTGGCACCTACCCCAAGTGCCTCCTCAGAAAGTATTTGAACCCTCCTGGCACCCACCCCAGTCCCACCTCCGAAACGAAGGTACTATACTGAACATCACCGTTCGTCGGACCAGTCTGAACATCGTGAACTGGATACGTCAGGGATACAGTAACCGAACCTGACGAATGATTTGTCGGGGAGTGAGTCGAAGGGAGAGTCACTGACTGGTAGAGTGACGGAGCGCGTTCGCGAGTGGCCACTCGCTCCACTGACTGACTGAGGAACTCGGTAGGTGCAAGTGGAGAAATCAGGAACTCAGTAGCTTCCAAGAACGAGTAGCACTGTGAACTCAGTAGTTCCTCAAGTGCTACTCAGTAACTTCCTGTGAAGTAATATTAGCTTCCAAGCTGATATGATGAACATGAACGTGAGCAGTTCCGAATACGTCGTTAAAAAACGTCCGGCTTCATGGGCCCCACGGCCCAATCCGGGGCCGATGGGGTCCGGGCCCAGTTCGCAGCGCTCTCTTCGGTCGATTCTCTCCATCAGAAGACTAATCAGAAGTGATCTCAAACAGCGTCATTCGGTCGTTCGGTCATCGGGGGTGCGCAGACTTTTGCTCCATGGTTTTGTTTTGTCTCTGAGTCTACATCAAATAACATCAGAATACACAGTCAGGAGTTATATCAGGCGAGGCGTCACTTACGCGTGCCTACGTGTTTTGCTCTTCTTCTGTCTACTTTGTCTGCGCCGCGTTCAAAGTTGACTCTTGTTGCATGCTGTCTTTAATCTTGCCTTTTTGCTCTTCTGCGCAATATTTTTATTATTCTTAGCCTGTCGTTTCTACGGGCTATATATACATCTCATCTCGATCGGGTTCTTCTCTCTTCACATCAGCATCCACAACTTGACCTGCCTCATCTATCCGTTGGTACTCTTCCTTTTCACGCTGCAGCTCCACGCCGCCATGTCCGTCGAACATCGCAGACGTTCCCCGCGCTGACGTCATCCGCGCCGAAACACACCGGCTTGTTGTGAAAGACTCGGACCGCTTGCGTGTCTTCTGGCTCCGGTAATCCAGGTCCTAGGTGAATGCGGCAAGGTCCCGGCTTCTCCTCTGCTGAAGCGCCATAATCAAAAACACCGAGCTGTTAAAAGGCCAAGCCGGCCTCCATCGCAGCACGCCAGTGACCCAAGCAAAGTGATCTCCGCACCACCCGAACAATGACACCCTTGTTCAAAACTCAAGCCTGGAGATGGGCCTCAACCACCTCGCCCAAACACCTGTCATTGGCTTCCGAGAGCACCCGAGAATGTCCTTCAGTTGCCTCCCCCCAGAATGCCCTCCCAATGAGGTCATGGGCATAGGCCTCCAGCTGCTATGTCCGGTGAGAATGGACTGCGTCTGTTCACCACCCTATGTCGAAGGCCACCAAGGTCATGTAGCACTATCTCATGGTCTGGCGTCAAACAAAGCCATCTGGACCCTGTTCCCCTGGCTAGGAGCATCCTATGGTGCCAGAAGAACCCGGCAGATCCGCCGGGAAGCTGACCAACACCTGAACCTCAGCAACGTCCAGAGACAAGTCATCAGCCATGATGCCTACCCCCGGACCAGTGGGCCAGCCTTGTGCTGGCACTCCCGCGCCAGTGATCCGTTCACGTGCCACCGCGGACGGGTCCTCGCCTTCTGAAGAACGGCCTTCTGTGCGACAGAACAGGTCTCTTGTAACGACAGTGAGATGCAATGATATAAAATCTCAGGCGCACGGTCAAACAGTACTGACCACCTCAAAGCTTCTCCAAATGCCCAAAGACGTGTCACTTTCAACCGCTTCCAAGGCCAACCGAGTGCCTTGCTGCTCTGATCTCAAATGTGATGCTCGCCAGAACCCAACTCTTGACCATGGGAACAGGCAGCCCCACAAGAAGAAGAGCACAATTCGTCTTCATATGTTCCGTTTCTGCTGTGTCTATCCTCTTCTCTCATGCTTTTAATTCCAGTGCTTCCATGCCGAGTGAAACCCATTTCCACAGCCTTCACCTACACCGATATAGAGCAGGATAGGTGACCTCAATCAGTCCCTCTCTGATTTCAACCCACTTCCTCAGTGCCCATTTTGCTAGGATATAGAGGTTGTTGTTTCTGGGCTGAATTGATTTGCATAATAAAGTAGTTGACTGAGAGCAGTTCCTGCCACAAAGTGCCCAAGACACTCAATAAACAACCTCTTCAGTGAGAAAGCTGGTGATGTAAAGATCATGGCACAACACCACTCCTTCACCCGCTTCACCTGTCAGTGATACTGCTTCCCCATTGAGAGGACACTCCGACATGCATGTCAGTTTGCAGTTTGCACGCTAATCCTGGGCCCTGACTTTCTCAAACTTCTGAGATTGGCTGACGTGTGTTACTGGTTTTCCTTTTGCGTCCTTGATTGTGGGGATCAGAGTCAATGCATGGTGTGTACTCATCTTCATCAATGTCGACATCTTCATAAGAGCCACAAGAAGAAGCTTGCGAGTTGAACATTTGGGCATGCAACCTAGGAGGAGTTATGCTTGTTTGGCAACGATCATAAGATCGCTCATAGGACTCCAGTTGTTCGACTTTCTTATTTAATGGTAGATCGACGATCGAATCTGCCCTTACCTTTTTGTGGTTTCGCATTTATTCCTTCTACAGCTGTGTGTCCTTCTAGTCTGGGATTTTGAATTGCTTTGTTGGGATGCTTATTTTTTGTTCTGCTCTGCTCTGCTCTGCTCTGTGTTTTGCTTTTGTTTTGCTTTTCTTGAAAGTGGCTACTTTTGTTTGCTCTTCTTGAATGCACTTTTTCTGCACTTGGTTTGGCGCTTCTTCTTTTGACATGTCACGCTCCGACAGAGATTAGCTAACTGGCGGACATAAGAGTTCCAGTTCCTTGCAACTATAGTCAATGACATGTCGGAAGTTTGACGGAAGACGGGATTGTTCCAATGTGCTGACCTGTTCCAACACCATGTGATCATCCAGTT